AACATTTTGTAGTAATTTCTCCATTTTGGCTTTTATATCCTCCTTCAGTTGTTGAAGTTTCACTTTCAGAATCTCTAGTGATTTCATTTCATCCATGACTTGGTCTCCTCTCATTTCCATCTCAGACCGCTCTTCTTCCATATTTCTCCTTTCCTTCAACAACAGTTCTCGTTCTTTGGCAATGTCAGTCTTCATCTCTTTCACCTCTTCTTTTTCTTCACTCATGATTTCCTTTGCACGTTCAAGCTCTTCTTGCTTCTTCTTCAGATTCCTCATCAGACTCTCCAGTTTTGCTCTTTCACTCTGCAATTCCTTTTTCATGATTTCCACTTCTTTTGTTTGTCTTCTGAGGTCATCTTCCTTGACTTTTTGTTCATTATGTGTTAACAATATCTTGCTTAAAATGTCTTCAAGTCTTTCTTTTTCCGTTTGAACCTGAAGGATACAAATTTTAATCTTGGCTTTTTCTTCTTTTGTCTCATGTAACAGCCTGTTTACATGTTCCATCTTATTGAGCAGTTCAAGCTTTATGATTTCCATTGAGTCTCTTTCTTCTTTTATATTTTGTTTCTTTTCTTCCAATATTTCAGATTGTTTCTTTATGCCAGACATCAACACCGTCAAATCCATTTTCTCTTTATTCAGCACCTCACTTTCTCTCTCCAGATCTTCTCTGTCGTGTCTCAGATCTTCTTTCAGTTTATCAAGATCTCGTTTGTCCAGTTCAAACTGCTGCTTCCATTCATTTTCTGTGCATTCTCTCTTGGTGACCATGACTTGGTCTCCTCTCATTTCCATCTCTTTCTGTTCATCTTTGATGTTTCTCCTTTCCTTCAACAACAGTTCTTTTCTATTCTCACGTCTAGTTTTCATCTGGTTGACTTTTTCTTTTTCCTGGTTACATTTTTTGATCTCTTTTTTTATCAGGTCTTGTTTTGTGTCTTGTAAGATAACCCTTTTTATACCATCCTTAATCTTTTCCCTTTCATCCAAGGCATCTTTTTTTTCTATCTCATATATTGTTTTCCTTCCATTTTCATGTTTTTCTTGCTCCGTCTTGATTTTTGTCTCCACTTGTTCCCCATGTTTTGGCTCTTGTTGTATGTTTTTTAATGCGCACCGTATAATTTCCTTTTGCCTATTTAATTCCCTTTTAATATTCAGTGTTTCTTTCCTTGTGGTCATGTAGAAATTTTTTTGGTCTTGCATGTGTTTATTTTCATTCTGAATTATTCCAATGATGAATTTAGTGTTTTTAATTACCTTTTTATATTCCCCTAAGTATTTCTTGAGTAGTTCCCATTGTTTTTGAATTTGCTTCCTTTTTTCTTTCATCCTCATGTCTTCAATTTCACTTTCCATCCCTTTCTTTTCTTTTTGCAACTTCTGCTTTATTTCTTGTTCACCTTGATGTTTGATGATCTCCTCTCGTCGTTGTTCAACCTCCTTTTTCTGCTTTGTTTCTCTCACGAGGGCAGTTCTTTCTTCTTTGAAAGTAGCCCATATTCTTTTTATCTTCTGTTCTTTTTGAATGCTTCTTTTGATTATACGTTGGTTTTCTCTTTTCTTCATCTCCAGCTCAACCACCAGAGCTTCTATCTCTTGTCTTTCCCTTTTAATATTTTCTAGTCTCATATCAAGCTTCTGTTTTTCTCTTTGGATTTTTTCCCAGATGTTCATTGTCTCATCCATCTCTGCAGTGTCTTGTATGGTAACTCTTCCAAAGATTATATTAAGCTGATATTTTAACCTCTTCATTTTGTTTGTTATATTCTTATTTTCAGCCTCAACTTCTCTGAATCCTTTTCTGTCCTTTTCTAAATGAGCATTCACATTTTCTAGAATTTTCATCTCTGTCCTAATTGTTCCCATGTGTAAATTAAACTTGTCTCTTATGTCTTGGATGTAAATAGTATACTGAGAAACTTTTGAGCTGTAGTTTTTAATTTTCTCCATTAACATGTTCACATCTTTCCTTCCAAAATGTTTTTCATGTTCATTGGGTAGATGGATGAACAGATTATGGTCTCTCTGCTTCTCCTCAGCCAGCTCTTCCATCTGTCGTTTCAATTTTACCCTTAACACTTCTAGTTCATCCCTTTTTCTCATAGTCATCTCCAGTCTTTGGTCTAATTCTCTTCTTTTCTTTTTGATCTCGGTCCTCAATGCTTCCTTTTCTTGTTGTATTTCATACCACATTATTTCAATTTCCTTTTTTTTTCTCATGCTTTTTCTAAAAAAACGCTCGAATTCTTTTGCCTTTATTTTCAATTCCGATTGCAGCAGCTCCATTTCTCTTATTTGCCTTTTGGTCATGTGTACTCTGTCATCAAGCTCCTGTTTGTGTCTTTCAGTTTTCTCACTCAAATGGTTCACCTGTTCATCCTGTATTTCAGTTAGCTGTTTAACCATTTTCTCATTCTTTATCGCTGTTTGGATCTGTTCTGTCATCTCAGTCTCTTCTCTCTTGATTATTTGTTTTACATTCTCACTAACTGATTTTTTATTTTTTTGACCCAGACTGTCTAATAAAAGTTTTACCTCCTCCAGTTTCTCATTAACTTGTTTGAGGCTTTCTGTTCCCTTAGTTTCTTTGTCAATTTTGTTTTTTGTCAGTTTATCTCTTTCATTGTCCATTGTCTTCTTAATTTCAGTCTTGAAAATTTCAAGAGCAGTTATTTGCTTTGGTGTAATACCGTGTTCCATGTCTGGTTTTGTGCCTTTTGTCAAGTTAAGGTTAATGCAGTCAAGGTCTTTAAACTGTCTTAGTTTTATTTCAGTCTCCTTCATACTAATTTCTATCTCTTCAATTTTCCTTCTGGTCTTAGCGGCTATTTTCTCAACTGTGTTCTTAACTTTTGTCATTTTTTCTAAATTCTGCCGAATCAGTTCAGTTTGCCTCTGCATTTTTATTTTAAAGATGTCTAATCCGTCTCTCTCTTTCAAAGTATTTTCTAACCTTTGATCTAATTCTCTTCTCTTCTTTTTCACTGCAGTTTTCATTGATTTCATATTGCTCATTTCTTCTGTCATATGTACTTCACTTTGCTTTATTTTGGTTTTTACACTTTCCAAAAACTCTTGAAACTGTTTGATATCTTTTAGCAATCCTTCAATTTCACTGCCTTCATTCTGTTGATATTTGTCCATGTTATTTTTTTCCGCTAGGTTCTCAAGTCCTCCTCTTAGCGTTCTTATAATCTCTTGTGTTTTGTAAATCTCTGCCCTGAGTCTTTGTATATCAGCTCCTCTGTCCTTTTTATCTTCATCGGTGTGTTCAACATGTTTTTTCATCTCTTCTCCTGATTTCTGAATTAGTTTTTGCTTGTTAACATTAAGTCTTATCAAGCTAGACTCTTGTTTTATTTTTTTGGCATCGTCCCCCTCTTGTACTTCATATTTCATTATTTCATTTTTGAAAACTTTGGTGCTCACCATCAAAATCTTTCTCTGTTCAGTTTCTTCCAACAGCTTAGTTAATACTTCCTGGGCATTTTCAGTTTCCCCGACTGTAATTACAGTGTCTGCCCTCTGCAGGTCATTTATTTCCAAAATGAGCCTTTTAATGTCTTGAGTTTTTTCTTTCATGTTATCAACAGTGTACTTTATTTGCTCCTTTATTTCCCCCTCTTGCTGCTTTAGGTTACGTATCAGTTTTTCCACTTCTTCCCTTTCTCTTACAATTATCAGTAATTCAGTTTTATCATGCACTGCTTCTTCATGAATTTCAGTTCGCATCTGTAAGCAAAAGTCCTGCTCCCCATTTTTGCCTTCTGCAAAACAATATTTGGATTCAAAATGCTCCTTCTGTTGTTCTTTTATTTTTTTATTTTGATGCTGATCATCTAATGTTACAGAATTTTGTAATGATGTTGTATCTGTTATACTTTCTGTCCCCCTTTTGTCCTTTGGAATTGCTGATGTTTGATCCTCGAGGGAGTCTGTGTCTATTTCTTTCTGTGATTCTTGAAGTTTGGATGCGTTCACTGAAAAAGTATGTTTGATTGTAGATTGTGTCGATATCCATTTGTTGACCCAAGTTTTCATGGATGTCAGTTTTTCCTTCACAAAAACAGAAAAAAAAGAGCTTTTTTGCTTTTGATGACACCAAGACAACAATAAAGATCTTCTTAAAACATCTATGTTTTAATTTTTTGTTTCACATTTATGGATCTTACTAGGGTTGGGCCATATGTAAAACTTTTCCAACCGACAATCGTCAGTCCAATAATCGATGATGGGCAATATATTCGCGCATACGCAGACTTTTTGATTGGCAGAGCAATGTAATCATGCATGGAGTGATTTGCACATTTACATCACAGATGAAGTCCAAACATGGACAAACTAATTTCCCCAAAAAATTAGGGCTGTCAGCATTTATGCGGTCATCACGATTAACCCATCTGGAGTGCAGAATGAATAAACTTTGGACAAACTGCTCGAAATGCATTGAGAGAGACATTTAAGGGATTTTGACTCAGTCTGCGATCCAGATGGGTTAATTGTTAAACACGTTAGTCATTATGGTGGCGCTTTAACGTTGACAGCACTAAAGAAATATAAAGTTGCCAATTTGGGATTTCTTTGGCTTTAAACCAGATGAAAATAGTAAACCTAAGGATGTAACCAAAACAGTCTGCCCCTTGTGCAGATGTATAAAGTACTCAAACACGACTAACTTGCATGAGCATGTACATGTCCACCATCTGGCTGGGTATGCTAGTGTAGTGAAGCAGATTTTAGGGAAGGAATTTACGTGATGTCCTCGAATGCAGCACTAACATCACATCTTCCCAGCTGATAATTAGCAACCTTATAAGAAACAGCTGCGCTTCACTACCACATGGAGGTATTTGGCAGTCTTTTCCCATTCAAGGTGGCTGAGGGAATTAGGCAGCTTAAGCACTGCAGAGCTCCTCAGGAAAGCTGCTCGTTTTAGTGTTGCCCTTTAGAGAATGGTAAGAGGGACTCTTGCGTTTGTCATAATGTGGCATATAGTAGGGTGGACCTTGACGACTGTTTCCCTTTTTTGTTACAGGATTGTGCCATACTGCTGCTGTCTTGTTTTGTTTCGTTCTTTCTTTTTCAATTTTATTCTGTCTTCTTGTGGCCTTACAAACGTTTATGGACTGGCCTCGACTGACTCTTGGTCTTATGATCTTTTACTTGGAATTGTTTTATATATTTTTAACTTGCTTTTATAAAGAACTGTAACTTAGGGTGGGTTTGTTTTATTTTTCTCTTTTACTAATTTGTTTAACGTTTTACACTTTGTTTTATTGCTTTAGTGGAGGTACGGCCGCTTGTTGAGGGGCTAGGCACATGAGGTGGAATCCCCTCCCCGATGCATGAGAGTGTACACACTGGGCATAGGTAGACTGCACCATTTAGATTTCAGTGTGAGTGACAGTGAGGTTTGCAGTGGAACTACATGGGTGAGTAATTGGTGGCACCCTTGGGCACTCCTCTCTGTAGGTTGCCTCAAGTGGCCGGTCTCAACTATTTTGTTTAGTTACTTTATTGAGTTATTTTACTAGGGTAGCACCGTGGCAGCGAGCCTTGTGGTTTTTAATCATTGTTTGTTAATTGTTTTAATTAACAGTCTTGCAGTCTCGGCCCTGCTACCCTAAGAACTTCTCTGATTTCAGTTCTATGCTTTTTAGTAGTTTTTCTTAATAAATTTGATTTGTAAAACTGATCTGCCTCACCTCTGCTATTAATAACTAGCCTGTGGGCTTTGGTAGATAGTGTAACATCTACACTGGCTATAAAAAATCTTTCCTGGGGTGTAACTCTCCTTTCAGGTAGCGTTGTCAACATCCCTTAGTCACCTTCCCTGGTTATCCCTCATTTGCGCCACCACACAAGGCTATCACCAGCTTCTGCAGCTCCATCAACAAGCATTTGGGCACACTCTCAGGAGGGTGCATTTGCTCACAGATAGAAGGTGCTTTTAAACCAGTACTTTTTTTTTTTTTTTTTTTGTTTACTGATTCTATTTGCTCCATTATTAGCAAACTTACTCATGGGCAAATAAAAAATAAATCGCCAGTGGGCTCAGCCTATCGTCGATATATTCGTCCAATTGCCCAACCCTAGATCTTACAGACTGCTATGCTCCTGAGCCTGGCAGTTGCAATAAAGGTAGAAATCTTCTATGTCACTTAGGCTACGTCCACACGTACCCGGGTATTTTTGAAAACACAGATTTTTCTATGCGTTTGCACCTTTCGTCCACACGTAAACAGCGTTTTCGGTCACTGAAAACTGAGATTTTTTGAAAACTCAGTTATTGCGTTTATGGGTGGACGAGAAAAATGGACGTCACACTGTGCGCCAGGTTATTGTTTCAATGAAATGAATTTCTACAATGGCGGACTTAGACAAAATACCATTACTGTTAATTTTACTCTGCAGTGTTTAAATGCTTACGCAGTTGCTGTCCCTCCACACATAGGACTCAGTTCTGCTTCTATGCGCCATCTTTGTTTACTCTTTCCCACCCAGGCTGACTTCTGATTGGCCAACATTTCTACACGGATAGGAATATAGCGCCACCTGCTGCTTTGGCATGTTCTGGCAAGTTTTCAAAAATACCTGTGTAAGTGTGGACGTAGCCTTACATGGATAAGGATCAAGATTACATGGAATGAGTTTGCTACTATGAACAGAAGTTCAAGCTTAATTGTAAATGTTGACTGTTCTTTTTTTCATTAAATTAAATATAACATTATCAGCATCTTATCAGCACAGTATGATGCCATTTTGGTAGCAGACTTAGCCTTGATTACACACAGGCACACAGATGTCTGCATGGACATTTGTGCCCACCGTCTGATGACATAATTTACTTTACTATGGCAGACTTAAGTGGACTCAATCATTCTTCACCTTACTTTCTCTATTGCCTGCCACTGGTGTAGGTCTCTTTTCCATGTTTAAAGGGCACCCCCCACCCCAAAACAAAAAAACACATCTGGTGGTAGGCAGTATTTTTGCCACTAACCCCAAAATCCACCGTTCCCAATGCGTAACTGATTATTTTTACACATTCTTTTGCATTTCAGTTTGTTAGGTTTATACAGTAAAATTACTTATGTAATTAACATTCCATACTTGAAGCAAGTGGGAAACATTGAAAAAAAAAGTCAGAGATTTTAACATTGCATTAGCCTGGGGATAGCCTTATCATCTTTAGGATGGCTAGAATAATTTCCACAACTTATTGACAACAGCAACTACAGTATGTGGATATCAGTAACCATACCCTTTCAATTGTCAGAATATTAAAAAAATTATGTATACGCAAATTACAATTTCAAGCTCAGTTAAACCCAAACTGTTATATCAGGCATCTTACTACTTTTTTACAGTTTTATTGGAGTACTTAGTGGAGTATTTCTTCCAACAATTCCAGTCGGTAAATAAAGGAATCGTTATCAAATACTGAATGTCTTTCAACTAAAAGCAGGTTCAATAATAAACAGGGGATCCTGACAAAAATTGCTAAAAGGAAAGAATAAATACTTACCATATAGTTCTTGGCTTCTTCCTGGTTCTTACTAATCTCCCTTTGGGTTCTCTGCATTTTCTCCCAAGTGTTGTTAATTTCTGCACCAGTTTTTTCTATTTTACCTTTTATCTCAGTGACAGTATTTTCCAGCTTTTGTTCAACCCTTTCCCTTTGTCGCTGTATTTTTGTCTTCATGATTTCTAACTCATCCCTCTCTTTCATTATCTTCTCCAGCAAACGCTCAAGCTCCCTTCTTTTTTGCTTTTCTCGAAAATTTGTCCATTTGGTTTGAGCCTTTACTTCTGTTAAGTCCCTCATGCTCTGCTTTGTTTCTTCACCCTTGTTACAAAGCACTTCATTGTTTTCTTCTTCCTCAGAGATCAAATTCTGCATGTAAGTATTTGGTTTGTCTTTTTCTACATTTTCCCTTCCTGTCTTTAGTTTCATTTCAACTCTCTTTAAGTCATCTCTTTCAGGCTGGGTGTGTGTCACTTTAAAGCTTAGATCTGAATCTTGTTGCTTTTGATAATCAATATTCATCTTGATGTTCACGTGATTGCTCTCTGCCATTAGCTGCTGCTTTGCACTTTGAGTCACTTCCAGTTGTTGTTCACTGTCTTCCAGCACATCCCAAAGTTTCTCCATCTCTTCCTGGATTCTACACAGTTTTCTCTTCACTGTGTCAAATGTGGCTTTTCCATCGTTTCTTTCGCTCTGTCCTTCTTTATACATGTGAATTTTCTTCATTTCAGCCTGTTTTATAATGCTTGCCCATCTGTGCTTGACCATGTTGATCTTTACATACATAATATGTTTAATGTGGTTAATTTGTTCACTGTTTTTTGAAATGTCCTCTTTATTTCTTTTTAATGCTTGCTGTATGTTTGCTTTAGTTTTCTCCATTTTTTCTTTAACTTTCTTTACTTCAACCATTATTTCCCTGTTTTTCTCAGTTGCATTCTCCAGTATATCCAGTTCCCTCTTTACCTGCTTATTAAGGGGCTCGTTGGGTTCCTCCCTTATTGGTGATTCTGTCTTACTAGCTTTTATAGTGTCTAGCTTGTGTCGCTCATTGATGAAGTATTGACGTCTTCTGTCCAGAGTATCCTTCTCTTGGTATATTTTAGTCCACATTTTCAGAAGGTTTGTTTTTTCCTTAGCAACTGAATTTTTGCTTTGTTTGAGTTTCTCAGTTATATTTTTTATTTGGAAGTTAAATTGCTTTAATAGTCGGTGCTGTTTGTTTCTTTCAGATGTCAGTCTCTCAATGTCTTCCTGTTGCCCCTCTGTCTTTGTCTTTAAGAAGTCAATTTCATTTGTCTGTCTTTCTGTCTGTCTCCAGAGTTGTTCGATCTCCTCCATTGCTTGACATATCAGTTGCCTTTGTCTTTTTATAGTTTCTTTTTGGGTTTTCATGTCAGTTCTTGTTTGTTTGCTATCTGATTGCTTTCTGTTTTCCATTGTTGAGTTCCATTCTGTTGTCATCCTGCTGTCTTTGTTCTGTTGGTAAAAATAAATGAATAAACAAAGTGGCCAAACCATAACTAACAAATGACAAGACATTCTAAACTCATACTGTGTTGGAAGATAACAAGTAAAAGAGGGATAACCAGAAATTGACAGATGGATTGGGGCCACAACTGCAGTCATGTGGATGCTGTACCAGTCCATCATGGTGAACAGAGAGCTAAATATAAAAGCGAAGATCTCAATTTACTGGTTGCTCTACATCCCTACACTGTAAAATATAATTCTAGATGTTTGTTATTTCAACATATTATTCTATATCAGTTTGACGATAGATGACTGAAGTTGTTGTTATAACACAGAATTACAAGTTAAAAACGTCCCAATTACACCAAAAAAAGCTAACTTGAAAACTCATGTCCAGCTAAATCAGCAACTTATGTGAACTTGACAATGTGGGTAAGTTGAGCACAGCAGGATTCAAAACTGTCCCACGTGACTGCTATCGAGGTGCATCATGGGGAATTGGCGGTTAACGACATGCTCACTTTACTTGGACGTTTTCTAATCGTCATCTTTGGAATATGCTTTCAAGGTGAGTAACATTGCTTTAGCTAATGTAACTTTAGCCGACAAGGTCCAGCTTGTGTGTCATGACCAAATTTGACCTAATAAATTGACATATGGCCTTTTTTATGGGTTTAATGTGGCACTGACCAAATCACAAGTATTGTACCGCTAGCTTTAAGGTTGTGCAATGAACCACTGTTGCAATATTAGCAAGCTAACTCAGCGAATTAATAAAGCTTATTTCATATTCTCTCTGTACTTGTAAATTTCTTTCAAGTTCACAGGCTGTTGTGTTTTGGTGGAAGTTCATTTTGGCAATATTTCCAATAACTGACTGGGTTCAAAGTTGTTATTAACTGCTGCATGCTAAGCTGCAAGAGTGCACTGAGGATTGAGACAAAATATGGTCTACAAACCAGCATTATATTAGTTTTTATCAGATAGTCCTCCAGTGTGTTTATTTTTTTGCTTTAATTATATTGTGCAGTTATTTGTTACCCTGAAATGCTTTATGCTTAACAACAGCTCACTATTTTAACTTATTTTTGAACTCTTGTGTTCAGTATGACTAGATTGTGTGAGTTGCCCTCAACATAGACTACCCAAAGGAACTTAAGGGCATCTTTGAAGTCATTCAGAACGTCCTAATGAACATTGGTGGAAGGCAGTGCATCTCAGTAGTGCATGGTCTAAGAAACAGACTCTTGCAGAACGCCAAGCAGAACTGTAATTGTATGCTCACAGCATACAATTGCCTTAGTGTTAAGGACAGTTTTTATTTTACTGTTTGTTTTTTTTTATTCTTGCAAGTTCTCATTCTCACTTTTGTATGTCACTAAATAACTACACTTTACATTCCAGATTAGACAATTACTCATTTGTTCATGGTTTAAGAAACTTATGTGAACAACAATATAATGGTGGACTCTGCAGATGCATATCTCATGCAAGTCAGTAGTTTTTCCTTTGTTTTGCAATTGAGCAGACTCAAACTAATGTTTCTGAAATATTCATATTATCAAATGTTTCAGAAGCATGCACTCATTTTCAGAGATATTGGTTGTGTGGAATTTGTTGCAATTGTAAACAAAGACAAATACAAGAGTTTGATGTCTTAGTTGTTATAAACTGATCTTTACTGTCACTTATCAAAGGTTTTGTACTATTTTAATGTTTCAAGTTTTATGCTAACAGGTGTGATGTGATACATGTAATGTATTAACGGGCAAGTGTCCCGTTGATACATTACATTAATGCAGACTTTATGTTGTTACTTCACAAGAATCACTACTGCTCCTAGAGTATTGGTCAGAATTCAATCTTCACCCAAACTGGGCTCAAGATCAAGTTCAAATTTATTGTTTCAGTTTTGATGGATTGTGAGCCTGATGAGCTACGTCACTGATTTTTCTGTTTCTCAGATGACTAAGATGGCACAATAAATGGTGAATGTTGGGTGCTCATGAGTAATTGTTTTGTCATGTTCTTAAAACAAACTTTCTGCCTGAAATGATCAGATACAATTTAATGGAATCTGTGGGTTTTTATTTTTTTTCTGTAAACAACAGAAAATTAATTTAAAGGAATGTAGATATTTAAACCTCATGTTAGTTAAGCTAAAACAATTCCTAAGTTAAAAGAACTACTAAAGTATTTGAATTAACTAAAAAACCCAAGTCAACTGAACTAGGACAAGAGTTTAAACAATAGATTATTTTAATTTAGCTGAAAGGGTTTTCCCAAGTAAAAATGACAATTAAAGGAGTTGAACTGACTAACAAATCTCAGTCAACTAAACTAAGACGAAAGTTTAGACAACATGTGATTTTTCATCAACATAACATTTGGTTGTGTTACAAGAACAAACTCTATTACTTGACTTAACTTAAAATTTTAAGGCAGCCCTTTACCAGATATTTTTAAGTTGAAACAACAAGTTATATTTTACAGTGTACCCTCACCTATGGTCATAAGCTTTGGGTAGTGATTGAAAAAACAAGATCGCAGATACAAGCATGACATTAGCTTTTTCTGAAGGGTGGCTGCTAATCCTTCACATTGAAAGAAGCCAGTTCGGGTGGTTTGAGTGTGTCCCACAGGGCGGAGGCCCCGGAGCACACCACGGATACACTGGAGTTCCCCTGGATAAACAGGAGGAGGTGGCTGGGCAGAAGGAGGCCTGGGGTTCTCTGCTTAGACTGCTGCCCCCACGACCAAGCCACAGAGAAGATGGATAAATGACATAATTGTTTATATCACATTTACAGTATTTTTTGGCAACAATGTAATAATGTAGTTGGGTTATCTGAGGTCTGTTCTATAGCAAATGTAGAAAAAAATGTTTTAAGAACCAATATAACTCAGTGTTTAAAGAATGTGACTGTTTCCTTGCAAGATAGCACGGCTACGTCTGCAGCCTGTCCACAGCTTGGACACAAACATTTCACTGCATGTATTACTCTGTATGATTGTTGTTTAATGCTTTTTAAAATCATATTCAAGTAGATTTTGAAATGAAGATAACTTGTATTTTTTTATTTTATTAAATTTTATTTTTTTTGCATTAGAGGTGTTTCAGAGAAGTTTAGTTTTGTAATTGCATTTTTACCTTGTTTATACTTGTACTTTTTAAAAAAAATAAATATCTTGTATGTAAGGTGACCTTGAGGGTCTTTAAAGGTGCCTATAAATAAAATTTATTTTTATTATTATTATTATTATTATTATTATTATTATTAAGAAAAAATAGATTAACGCAAATGCATAAGCTGCAAACATGTTATATAGTTGTTTGGAATAGAATTACAATGAGATTATCTTGGTTTAACAAGAGGTAACTGGATATGTTCAGACTTTAAATGTAAGCAGCCAATTTGCATTGAATTAACCTGATGACTAAAGATTTTACATTGAGGGGGGGGATCATTTTCATTTAACAAGTGAAAATAACATTAAAAACTATTAATTAACCAAGCATAACTTTGTTTTCAACACATAAACATATATTAATCCAACTAATGAGTCAAGTTCAAATTCTGCTAATTGACTGAGAAACACACCTGGCAATGTATTTTTTCTATGTTTAAAACGTTTCTTAAAACATATTTATTTGCTGATGACTTTGGCCTTTTTTTTAACAGGTTGACTCTGTTATGCTGTTTATTAAAAAAAACAAAAAAAAAATGGAATATATAGATAGATATTCCAGTGATGACCTGTGCTCTAAATGTTTCTAGGAATCTTTTTGCAACACATAAATGTTTTGGTTACTATACAGAGTTTATCAAACAAGTGTGAGTCTACTATTGGATAAATAACTGTATTAGGTATTACTTTCTCTCTGTGAAAGCTTATAAATATTTTAAGTATATGTATATAAATAAGTTATACATCCTGAATGTAAAACTAATAAAATTACAACATATTAGTAAAACTGAGTCAATGTATTGAACCAAATCAAAAGTATTGTTTTATGCCTTCTATCTATCCTATGTCAGTTCCCTGCCCCCAGTCCCCACTTCAAACCTTGGATAAGTAGAAAAAATATAATTCATCCTACCTCCATGTTCTTTTGCTTTGTAAATTTAAAAACAAAGCTGTGTAGCAGGTCATCTGAGAGTCCTGTGCTGGTTCACTTTGACGGCAGTTCTGTGGAAGTGTAGCAAGTGAGGACTAATCTGACCTAAACATTGTATATCTTCTCTGTCCACACCACCACTTTGATTATCAGATACACATGGCATCCAATAAGTGTGTCTAATTGGATAATAGGTAATGTTTGGCTGCAAAAACTTCATGCTCCCTGAGTCTGGTCTCAGCTGATAAGGGTGGGGTCCATACTTGGCTGCATAGAGCCATTCTCCATGTATGCAAAACACACAGACTTGTGTGCTTACTATGCTTCCGTATTCCAACATTTTAAAGATACAAATAACATCTGCTAGCTTTTTTAGTAGGAATCGCTTGTGAAAAGTAGTGTGCAGTGTGATTATGTACAGAATTTGTTCAAACTAATAAAACCTTGACTTGAAACCCGCATTAAAGGGAATACGGTATTTAACAACATTTACATACACCATATACTTGTATCTGACAATACAGGAAAACCACAGTTCTACAGGTTCAGAGGAGACCATCTTGCTATTTACAAAGTGGTTTATCAAAACCACAAATTCTTTGCAATTGCATTATTCTTAAAATATTTTATAAATATAACTTAGTATGACTGTTACTGTTTCTAAGACAGTCATAGAGTGGTTTAAATGACTTACACATTTTATACAGTGTCCTCACTTTTGGGGATTGGGCTGTATTTTAAGTGTCTCCCATTTTACAGAAATGGGAGACACTTCTGAAAAAAGGCATGTGAAAATATTTCAGTTTTAATTGCATATGTCAGAAATATAAACTATTCAGAACAACTTGAACGGCTGAAAGGTTACAACAGTAGACAAGATAAGGAAAAGCTGCCATACTTCTAATGGTCTTGCAGGCACTGCCTCCTCCTCCTCCTCTGCTCAGTGCACAGAAGGAAAAACAGAGAAAGAGTGAGATTATAAATTTATGAAAGTTGAAAATAAAATACGTAGCAACTTATTGGTTCGTCACAAAATATATTACAGATGTTTCTTGTCAGGAGTCTGGGCCTCAGTCTCTTTCTCGGCAGTGTTGATGACGTTTGAGATAGTTTAGGTGGGTTGTGCATTAGTTTATCTCAGACACAGACTACTTTGTCTTGTCATTTTTTTATTCATTAGAGATTGAGTGGATTACTGGTGTTGGGGCTCAAGTCTAGGGGCCCATCTGCTCGGGTACTACTACAACCATTTGTAGTGGGGATGGTGGGTGCTGGTCTTGAGTGGACACACACATCATAGCAAAATTGTATGTTGTATGTTTTGTCTTGCAGGCAGAGATGGGCAGTAATCCTATTACTTTTTCTTAAGTAACAAGTAAAATAGGAGATTACTATTGCAAAAAAGTAATTCGATTACTGTTACTTTCCCGTGAGCATGCTGTGTTACCGCGTTACTAAACTGCGATTTTGTTTGTGACAGTGTCACATGACAATGACGTACAAGCGTGTGACGTCCGTGGCAGCAACAGACATGTGTGGATCAACAATGGATAATATGGAGTGCGGGAGAGAGTACAACCATGTAGCATTAAAAGCTTGGAAGTACTGACATTACTTTGAGTTTGATTCCGTAAAAAGTGACAAACACATTAGCGTCCACTGAAAACTTCTTTCTACAGCGAAAAATTAAACTTCAAATCTGAGCAAGCACCGAGCACGCTGCTACAGAGAATGTGAAATTCACAGAGAAAACCGCTGCTGCACTGGGCAAACCTCCACTGGCCCCACTCCTGATAAACAGATGAAAAGAGATTTAAGAGCAACAGGACTTAGCACTGCAGAACTTTGGAAACAAAACGTAAACTGCAGCTTTATTTATCCCCCTTAAGAGATGGCTTCTCAGATGGCACGGCCACATCCAGATGCCTTCCTGACCACTGCGCACAGACTATGCACCTTTTTAGTTGTTTACTTATTTATTGCTTTGTTATACATTCCAAAATCTTCTAGATTTATAGTTTACGACAGCAGATCACTTCTCAACATCGATAACAATTTGCACATGTAATCTTGGGCAGTTTTAAACCCGACCGGTCCTGGCTGACTGAGATACTACGCGGCATGGACAGGACGCTCACCCGAGGCGAAGAACAAAGAAGAGCTGGGAGGAAACGTGTTGGCATTCGGAACAGACTGAGGCAGCAGGCGCACTGTGCACCTCTGCCAAATATCCTGCTGGTAATGTTCAATCATTGGAGAACAAACTAGATAATCTGAGGGCAAGAGTCACCTTCCAAAGAGACATGAGGGACTGCAACATTCTGTGCTTCACTGAGACATGGCTGACCCCCGCCATGCTGGACCGTGCTGTAACTGCATCTGATTGATCTGAACAGAATGGCAGAGTCAAACAAAACCAAAGGTGGAGGATTGTGTCTTATGGTAAACAGAAAGTGGTGTGACACCAGGAGCATTTCTACACTCTCCAGCAGCTGCTCTCCACATCTGGAATACCTGAGCATTAAGTGTCGCCCTTTTTACCTGTCCCATGAGTTCACACGCCACGGTGGTCTACATCCCCACCCCAAGCAGACACAGGTATGGCTTTGTCTAAACTACATTATGTGCTGAGTGCATTTCAAAACAAGGATCTGGGTTCAGCCCTCATTGTGGCAGGAGACTTTCATAAAGGAAACCTCTGACAAGTCATGCCGAACTTTTACCAACATGTCACATGTCCGACAAGGGGAGAAAGAATCTTGGACCATTGCCACACGCCATACAAGCAGGGCTACAAAGCTATTTCACACCCAGCTTTTGGGAAGTCTGACCATAATGCCATCTTCCTAATTCCTCAGTGTAAACAACACATACAGAGAGATGAAGTAACCACAAGGGAGCTGAAACGCTGGTCTGCCAAACACTACAGGATGCGCTCAATGACGTAGACTGGGACATGTTCAGGGCATGTGCAGTTGACATGAATGGGTTTATGGAAGTAGCAGTAAGCTTCATCAGCATGCTAATGGAGGAGATCATCCCCACTGCAAGAGCCGTGACATTCCCGAACCAGAAACAGACAGATCGATCCGCACTGCAGTGAACGCCAGGACCGCCACCTACAACGCAGGTCTCACATCTGGCAATATGAGCGCCTACAAACTGCTTCATACAGCGTGCGGCACGCGGTGAGGGATGCCAAACGCTGGTATCAGGAGCGCGTGTAGTCTCACTTCCGCCAGGGCGACACACGCAACATGTGACACGGACTACACACAATCACGGACTATAAAGTAGGGGTGGGTTTTAATAATAATTAATTCATTAAAATAGATTCTGGCTTGGATAACGTGATATTGATTCATTAAAATCCTGAATCGATTTTTTAAATATAAATGTATTTTGCCCAAAATTCCAGAATCTCAGGTGAAACGTCACAAAATTTTGACAACCACCAAACATTTAAAACAGTAAATGAGAGCAGGTACAGGCTTATGCACAAAGACGTAAACACTAAGCGTGGACCCGCAGATCAGAATCAGTGAGATGTCGTTTTTCTCACGGCATGGCTGAAAGCCGACAGCTCGCTGATTCTGATGTTTCAGCGGGCCTGCGCTTTGTGTTTACGCCCTTTTTGCGCTGATTCTAAAGCTGTTAGTTTTATCTCTCCCCAAACAATATTGACCGAACCAGCCGCAAAAGAAGATCCAAACTAAGTTTCACATAAACATTGTCATCGTCATGGACTCCCTTTTACTTTTGCTGATTTGCTTCCACCACACACTTCATGCACAGCTCTCTCTCTTTCTCAGTGTACTTCAAGAACAGTTTCCCGTCTATCCCCGAAATCTGTTTTCTGCATTATTTGCTTGCTTGTTACGCACAAGACTACCGTTCTTACAGCGCTGTCGGCCAATGTTTTTTTCTTTTCTTCTGCCGTTCAATAGGCTTCTGAACAAATTTAAACTTTTTAAAATTATACAAAATGCAAAACGCTTAGCCGTGTCTCTAATAAAACCGCTGTAACTTCAGAGGTGATGTTCATATGTTGATTAATGGTTTTCTTTCATTTTTGATGTACTGCAGAATATTTTTATAAAATCCCAGGCCAGGAAAATCACCTTCATGTTTTTCTGTGTTTTATCTTCAGCTACTTTGACACAAAGGCATCTGCTGTGATGCTTACACCTTTGATAAAGTCTGGAAAGTGTCAGCTTCCTTTTTATATATACAAAAATATGTAAATGTACTGATCTGAATTATAATATTTCTGACTGTCTGAGGTAAAATTCATGTGAGCTCAATAAAAGGAGTGCTATGGGGGAACCTGGCTGAGAGTCTGACGGAGGTCAAGTGGGTGGAACAACACTTGGCTCCAGGCAGGTCTCCCTCGTGTGAGTAACACGAAGAACTTTGCCTACTTGGTGTTCAATGCTTTTGCTGTGTAGTTAAATTGTCTCGTTCCAGCAGTGGGCCTGTGCTAGACAGACCCAACAGTGAGCACAAGGAAAGCGGTGGGGCCAGACGGCATCACCTGCCGTCTGCTGCGTTGCTGTACTGACAAACTAGCAGCTGTGTTCACTTCCATCTTCAACGAGTCCTTGGCAAAGTCTGTGGTCCCCACATACTTCAAGAGATCCACCATCCTCCCTGTGCCCAAGAACAACAAGCCCTCATGCCTGAATGACTACCCACCAGTTACACTGACTTCAGTGGTAATGAAGGTGTTTGAGGGGCTACTGAAGAACATCATCTCATCCTCCATCCCAAACACCACAGATCCACTGAGTACGTCATCGCCCATGTTCTGCACACCACCAGTTCAGCGTTCAACACAATAGTGCCCGGTAGACTGTTCACAAAGCTGAGGGATCTAGGACTCAACAGCTGTCTGTGTGTATGGGTGTTGGACTTCCTCACTGGCAGAACTCAGGTGATGAGGGTGGGTAGGTGCGTCTCCGTCAGCATCACCATAAAGCACCACTCTCGCCTCTACTCTACTCCCTCTATACTTCAGACTGTGTGGCTACCCATGGCTACAATACCATTGTGAAGTTTGCTGACGACACAGTGGTGTTGGGCGCCATCTC